CGTCGAAGGCAAGAAGTCCCGCTGCAAGCTCTTCAAAGGCCCCATCCTCTGGACGCTGCCCGTCGGCGGCGCGAGCTGCTACAAGAAGGCGTCCAAGACGGAGCTCGGGCCGCACAAAAAGCGGCTCTAGTGAGGCCGTCAAGGGCGATCATGAACATCTCGCACGAGTAGAACCTCTCGCTTCCCCTCGGGGTAGCCCAGTCTGATCCGGGGAATTGCCCCACGTCCGCGTAAGCTTTCCAGGCGCGGCAGACTTTGCATGCTCGTCCCATCTCCACATCTTCTCAGGTCATACCGACCTGGGGGGGGGCGTTGGAATGCGGAGATAGTAACTACTCTCTGTGATGCCCTCTTGGCACTTTACTCCTGTCCCGCGTGGCTCTGTGTCTCACATGAGTTTCTTCCCTCGATTGTGTCACACGCGGGGAGGGGGTCGCTATTGTTCTGCCTTTGTCCGCGGCTCGCGCTCTGCTTGCGGAACCTTGATATCACGCATAGCGGGGAAGATGCCGACGAGGCCGACGAGGACGACGAGGACGACAAGGACGACGATGACGAGGACGAGCGTCCGACACGGCGGCGGCGTTTGTGAAAAACATTGTGGTACTCGACGAGATGTCTATGAAAAAAAAATGTTGATATCATTCTACGTGCTTGCCCGTGTCATCCGACGTCGACGGTGAAGAGGTTGAATCGGTCTTGTAGACACATCGCTTACTCGTCACACACGCCCGGCACCGGCGCTCGTAGTTGCACGTTTTGATACTCTCCTTCCATCGAAAATCATGACACGGTTTGGTTTGTTGACAAACACGACAAATTTTAAGATAATCCTTATTTTTTGCCAACCTCAAGCGCTCCTCCCAAACCTCGGGCAACACTCCAGGCCCGGGAAATTGGAAATTTGACAAGCCACGGGCGGTGGAGCAAACGAACTTCCGCTCTCCGCCTTTGGCGCATGTGACGGCAAATACCACGCGCTCAAGAATAGGAGAAACATCCACCCTTCCGCGATAAATCACGCATCTCCTCTCGCAGTCAAGTAGAGCCAGCATCCCATGACCAAGGTCGTGAGTGGTCAGCTTGGTCAAGTCGTCGACGTCGAAATATTGTAGACAATCCACTCTGAACACTCTGACCACGAATACACATGTCACCTCTAATGAACACAAGATTGTTGTCGTCGATATCGGCGCGAAACGAGAGCCTAATATATACGTGGCGGATTTATATAAAATAAGAAATGTGGCGGATCTACACATCACATGCGTTAATTAACTTTGTTAAGAAAATGTACACAAAACCTCCAAACAATTTTCAAAAATAGCGTCTCAAAAGCGTTTCCAAAAACAAGCCTCCCGCAGGCAGGCCATCCACTGGGGAAAGCGCATGCCTCAAGGCCGAGAGCCTAGTCAGGCGAGTTGCATCCGATCGGATGCAGCTCACTTTGAGGCATCCGATCAGATCCGAACCGGTCCGTCGGATGCGTCGGACTAAGCAGACAAGTGTGCCGCCCGGCGCCCGGTGTTTGAACGTTTCTTGAAACAATAAATTTGTATAGCTTTGACTTTTTTGTACTAAATTTGTAGTGACCCTAGTTACTTCGGGAGGGGGGGTCATGCCGCCAGACTGGCCGTGGAGGTGCCCAAAAAGTGAGAAAGAACAAAAAAATGTCGTCGAGGAGCCGTGGCAACAGAATCGAAACCCCCGCCAGGACGATCACACTCCCATAAGTTATCTGCTAACTTATTCGCGTACATATCGGCATCGAAGCTTGAACCAGGACGGTCGAACGCCCATCAACTTCGCTACCGCGCTATCGGCTAACTTATTCGCGTACATCGGCATCGAAGCTTGGGCCCGGACACTGATGTGCACTCGCCCATCAACTTCGCTGCTCGCTGCCGCAATCTTTAGCTTGCGCTGTGCATCACTTCGCTGCCGCCCGCGCGGGGCTCGCGCACAAGACTGGGCTGTGGGCTCTTTCTCCGTTGAGTCGACACCCTGTTGCTCTGATGGTGATGCCGAAAGACATGCGCGCACAGAAATATGTTAATTGACAGCTGCCCGACAGCCCGACAGATCACCTGACAGCACCTCTGACAGCCTGACAGCCAGGGCTCAGAGCTCATATTCACAATCTGCTCTGCGATTGCCGTATGAAGAACGACCGAGATACGCTGCTTCTGCAGCCCCAGCCAATTCTTAGTGGTCCAAGTCACCTCATCGAGGTATTGGGCCCGCGTCAGCTTGTTCTGTAGCACGTGTCCGCCGCCTTCCGGTGTTCCGGAGGATCTCACGGTGACCAGGCCGAACGATTCGAACAAGCAGCAGCTGGAGCTGCACGTCAACGTCCCGCGAGAGAAAAGCACGGTAAGTCGCAGGTGACTCCAAGCCGCGCTCCATCGACGTCGATTGCCTTCGTTCGACGTCCCTCTCGGCGTCTAGGCAAAAAGGGAAAAAATATCGTCTACTCGTGGTCGTGCCAGACAGTGGAGCCACAGCATCCCGCGCCACAAACAACCGCGGCGGAGCCCACCGAGAGACTCCACATCGCGCCCACACGGCGCATCGTGCACGCTCCTGGCACATCCCCATGGCACATCCAACGACCCGGTACCGCCTGCGGCCTGTGCTGGGGGTCGTCCCCCGCCCCCCGCCCCTCCCCTCTCCCCCCGCCCTCCCGCCCCTCGCGCGTGCGCACGGCGCGCGCTAAAGTCGGCGCGAGAGCGGCCGCGGAGGCTGCTGCTGCTGCTGTGCT